GCAAGACTCAGATGTGTTTGTCTTTCTGACCTATCTACCCCTTGGCTACAACTCAATGAAAAGAAACAATAATACTTGTAATAAATACTAGTAATAAAATAATAGCAATAATACTAGTAATAAAATAATAGCAATAATGAAGAGTTTATTGCGCCAGGTACAAATTGGTGATCGAAAGCAACCTCCTCCATTACATCCAGTAGTCCATAATCGCCACTGTACTAAAAGATATCAATATATGTCATTGACGGCGGAGATTTTTTCCCCGAATAGGATTCCTTCTTAACTACAGCCACACATAGGTATTTTCTAACAGCAATATATGTAATAATTTTCTTCCTTTTTTAGCTAGACACAAGTAGATTTTCTTTCCTCACTTCTTTAAAAAAAAATATATATATATATATATATATAAAAGCAGTAAATTCTACCTTGCTAAACGAACTATCCTCTGTGACTGAATCGTCAAGCTATATAAACGGTTCGAATCGTGTCGGCGGACGAATATATTCTATGAAAAGTTCTCGGACATTCAGGCCGGTAAATGTTGTTTAATACTGTTTATTATAAACAGAGCATTTACTTAAATATTTGTATCTATAAAAAGAATGTATAGACATAAAATATATATATATAAAGAATAAAAAGGAAGAAAATTATTATATACATTGCCCTTAGAAAATACGTATATGTTTTGTATATATATATATATATATATAAAATGTACAAGATCTCTCTGAAAATTAAAGTGGTTGGTATTGAAAAAAAATTATTTCAATTCCAAACAACAAACTACATGGTTTCTCCTTCATAGTAATCCCAGTAATAGTCTAATGCACTTTTCCATCTTTCTCTGCCACGCTTCTGTGCACTGCTGGGAGGATTCTTCTTGGGTGTCCTTCAGCTCCGTCGTTACGGCCCCCTCTTAATGACCTCCACGCCTTTAAAATGGGCCCCCTTGATGATCTTGGACTTGGGGAAAAAGAAAGCAGTCACACGGAACAAGATCAGGTGAATTGCAATGTTGTTCTAATATGGCAATGTTCTGCCGGATGCGCAGGTCATTGTGGGCAGGTGCATTGTCGTGGTGAAGAAGAAGATTCTTCCTACCACAACTTTCGTCTCTTCTTGCACACTGAAGAAAACAAACGTTAAGATTACAGTTATATACTCTAAAGTTATAATGTTGGATGACAACATAGTCCACTTACCCTCCCAGAGCTCACACAGAACACCCAGTAACGTTACTTTTTAGACAAACCTCGTATTATATATATATATGTGTGTGTGTGTGTGTTTAGGTAGCAATCCTTCTTTCATGCACATTTCATTCAATACGATAGACAAGGTGCTTTGATGTAGTTTTTTATACAATTTCTCATGTGATCTTATAATTTTTTTCTGTTCCGAGGATAAATTATATAAAAACTGCCCAATTGTTCTTTTTATCCGAGCGCTTTCGGCTATACATTTAGCCATTTTTAAGGTTGAAATATATTACCTGTTAACAAAAAATTGTTTATTGTATGTATATATTTATATAAGGTTTTCATTTTCAAAACACGGTCAAGATATTATGTCCATGTTCATAGATGAAGCTACATCGTTCATTACTAACGTGGCGTATCTATTTGTTGCAAATGGCGTTAGCGTTAGTGTTAGAGTAAAGGTTAGGGTTAATGTCATGAAAGAGTTCTTTCATATTGGTTGTTTGATTTTTTTTCAGCGTTATTGTGTTATTTAATTGATAATAGACGCGTTCGAATTGTCAAAGAACGGGATGAAAGAATACACCAACAAAATCATACTTATTATAAAACCCAGGTTGTGTGTGTGTGTTCTTCTGTTCATTTATATATTGGATCAGATTTCCTACATTTTTCAACCGATTTCAACAAAACTTCACAGGACTACGTAAAATTAACTCGCGGTGGTTCTGACAGCGCCAAAAATTGGAAAAACACAATTGTTTTTGCACGAAATCAATTTGAAAACACGATTAAGAGGCGTCGCTGTCGCGAGAATGAAAGGGGGACAACTCGAGTTAGACTTATTATAAAACCTAGGTTGTTTGTGTGTGTGTCTGTGTTCGTTTATATATGGGATCGGATTTCCTACATTTTTCAACCGATTTCAACAAAACTTCACTTTTTTTGGCAGGTAGTGTTTCTTATTGTCTTGCACACTTTTTTCTTTATTTTTACATTCAGAATGCTTTAAAAATTCCATTTACAAGACAATTGTTTATAATAAAATTCTATTCAATTGGTAGACTTATAACGATTGAAAACAATATTTTTTTTTCAGTTTGGGTTTGACCAATTCGTAAAAAAAAAAAAAGAAAATAATTAAGACATGCGTGTCCGTCAACCTTAAACAATAATCTTTGCCAATTTTATTTTTCAGTCTTTATGATGGTCGATACTTGATCTATCTCTTACTGTTACATCCCCGGGCAAGGCCGGGCTCTACTGCTAGTGTATGATAAAATCAAGTTACA